TTCCTTCCTTCCTTCCTTCCTTCTTTCCTTCCTTCCTTCCTTTTTGGTACTGGGGATTGAACCACTGAACTATACAGCTCAGCCCTTTTTGTATTACTTAGGGCCTGCTAAATTGCTCCGGCTGGCTTTGAACTTGCCATCCTCCTGCCTTAGCCTCCCAAGCCACTGGGATTACAGGCAGGTGCTACCACACCCTGTTGCCAGTTTCTTATCCCAAGTACAGTTGGCAGTTCTCTTGAGTGTACATCATTCTTCATATTTCCTTCCTTGAACCTCTGAATTTATCTCTTCTTATTCACTACTATTCTCTCTCCTTTTTATCATGTTGATACTAATACAACTCTACACCAATCCACATCTAAGCCCACTTAAATCAGACTCTGATAAACTTTGAGGAGTTTCAGAACATCAAGATTCAACTTCACTTTTACTTTTGAAAGCGCTTGGAACAGCAAAGCAGACTTTTTTCTTTTTTTTAATGCTAACTTTGGAAGGCTATGGCAAGGCAGCATATTTCAGTATGTGTTACTATTTCAGCATATTTGCCAAGGGATTTTATATATATACTTGTGAAGAATAAATATCTGCAGTGACTAATCTTGTTTTAATTAACACTAGAGAAAAATAACCATAGTTGACACGACAAACTATTTTCAGGTTTTCTTTTTATAACGATGTCAGTTGCCATTGAGCAGAACAGCATATATTCATCAACTAGATTCCCTCTTCTTTGCCTAAGAATGACACTGGCTGGTTATTCAAAGAGTAGATATGCATAATACTCACATTTGGTAGCCATCAAATTTTCAAAAGATTGGGCCCACTGTAATACTTCTTCCAGAGTAAGGCTTTGAAAAGGAAAAAAAAAAGATGCTGATTGGGTTAAAATGTTCTTGAGGTTTTTGCTGAATTAAATATAATTATATTACCTCAAAAAAACCTGAAATATAATTACACTCCATTTGTGTGTGGTTTTGTATGGAAATGTATCTACTTACATTTTATTTTTATAATAAAACTCATAAAAAGCAGGATATTTTTGAAAATATAAGGAAATAAGTATCAAAAAGATAAAGAATCATAGTGATACAATCTTTCTATTCCCCAAAGTAGCCCCAACTGTGGATAAGGCTTGCTGTGCCCCATAAGATAGGTAATTTCTTAAAGAGATAAGTGGGTAAAAAAAAAAAGATGTAGTTTTAAGGTTCTTGGTACAAAATGCCAAGTTGCTTTCACAGGGTTGTGGACTGTATATTTCTGTCATCAGCAACATGCTTATCCATTGTGTCTATTAGAATCTTAAGAGTTCACCCACAAAACCTATGTGCATGTACTTTCATAATAAAATTAGTAATTCTGTACCTATTATTTTCTCAGTCTCTTATTTGCTGATTTTTTTTTGAGGGGGAGAGTTTGAAGGTTTAATATTAATTACAATATGTCGAGTGACATTTGACTTAAACAGTATAAACAAAGCCACTTGTCATTTAGAAAATATCTGTGAAAGATGCTAATTCTAGGGCATCTCTCCTGTTCTTGTTGGGGAGCTTCCTGAAGTGAACTGGCAAGAGACTACATTTTCACATGCTGATTTTTAAATTATCCTTCTTTAAAATAGTTAACGTGTTCATCATCATTGGATTTGTGGTACATTCTTGATTTTCCTGCTCCCAACAACTAGATATAATCAAAGATGACTATAGATGGAAGCAAGGTCTGTTCATTGGCTGTACTGTTGGGGGCTGTTAGCCCCAAAGTTAGCACTGCAAGAAGAGCTATCAGTATTATCAGGTTCTTAACGCAAAGAGGAAGATTAATTACAGAGGTTAAAAAAAATTGCTGAGAACATGGAGACAGATTTGGAGCCCTAAAAAGGTCAAATATCTTTTGTTTTCTAAAAATTCAGATGGATCCTGTCAATTTTGGATGGACTGTTTGTATCAGTACTGAAGCTTAACAGTGTACTGTGTTAGGATTGCTTTCAATTTTTGTTTTTCCATGAAATTCTACCTGACTCATTGTTCTTTTCTCTTATTAGAACTTTGGAAAGAGTAACCTAAAATAACCTTCTCAATCCAGGGAAATAGAAAGTGCTAGATAAGGTGTATTGCATGCCTATCTGTCCCACTCATTCCCATTATGTAGGAAAGAATAAAATCTACAACCTGAGAGAAGATAGGATCACTGTGTTGGGTCAGTGTAAGATTAGGAGTTGGAAATTGTTGGTAAGAGAATTCCTTTGACTCTAAGAGTCATGAGATTTATAGAGACAGATTATGGTTAGAGTAATTATGCTTGAAGGTAGAGTTGTGAAATCTCTTTCTGTTTGAATATCATTTTTGTTTGTCATGTTTATTTCTATTTCACAAGTTTCATGCTGGCCCAGGAATATTTCATTGGTCTCATCAGAATTATAGTAAACACCTTTGTCCCCTCACCTGCCTGAGTTGCCTGATATAAGTTCTCCAGTTTTGCATCCCCTTCTTTCTTCTGGGAAGATAGGCAGTGTATGGCAATCGCACATGGAATATTTTGAGATGTCATGACATCATGGACAGAGGAATGAAGAGTGTTCAGAGGCTGATAACTCTAGGTTCTAATCCCAGTGCTGTCCTTAATAGTTTCTGGTCTTACTGTATTTAAAAATCTCTAAACCCCAGTTTCATTATCTAGAGAATGGATAATAATGTCTATCATAGTTACCATGAAAATTAAATGAGGTGATGAATGCAAAGCACTTATCAAGTGACTGTCATCAAGCACAGCCTTCTATAAACATGAATTTTCTTGTTTTTGACTTTCCCCTTCCCTCATTGTGGGTCTGCAAGGCAGGTAGCAAGAAATGCAAGCTCTGATGGTGATAGTCCATTGGAATCACCAGGAGAGGAACAGACAGCTGTTCTCAATTGCCTATTAACATCTTTTCTCCTTGGATGCATCTGTGTAGGTGAGCAGCCTCAACAGGTTTAAATTGCCCAGCTTTGGGTCTTCCTGTCGAGCCTCCTCCTAAAGACAGAGTGGCTTGCGAGCGTTCTAGGACTTTCCGTACTTCAGCAGAGGTGCATGTAGGCCAGGAGCTGTGACCCTACAGGGAGATGAGCCCAGAGCTGAGGTCTCTACCTGGACTGGGCTAGGCACTCATCGTGAACCTCAGAAGGACCTCCAACCTGGGAAGTCTTTGCGGTGAGTACATCCAACTGAATGGCTTCTCACATTTCTCAGGCATTCTTCTTTCTTCTTATTTTAATCCAGTCACTGTTCTCCTCCAAATGGCTACATTTTTTAGTTATGGTAAAACTTAAAGAGATTGAGAACTTGGTAAGCATTTCATTACCCTTCTCGTCTCATAAATTCCATCTCAGAATGAACTTTTTTCCTTTGGTACAGAGGATTAAACCCAGGAGCACTTAACCATGGAGCCACATCTCCAGCCCTTTTTTATATTTTTATTTAGAGACTGGGTCTGGCTGAGTTGCTTAGGGCCTCACTAAATTGCTGAGACTGGCTTTGAACTCGTGATCCTCCTGCCTCAGCATCCCAGGTGTGTGCCACCATTCCCAGCAGGAGTGAAGGTTTCTGGCATTTCACAGATGAAGGGTTTGAACTCTGAAAATATTTTGGATCGAAAAATCTCAAACTTTAAAAACCTCATAATAGATGCTAAAAATATTTAACTTGCTGAATTCTCAAGTGTAAACCATGAATAATGAAAAGGGAATCTTAGTGTAACACATGATTGCTCTTCTGGTGAAATTACTCATGTATAAATGCAAATTTTACTTTCTGGGCAAAATATATTGAGAGCAGTTAAATAAATACACACCTACTTATCATGTGACAAAAATACCTTAAATGGCCATAGAATTTAAATGCTACTTACTTTGAAGGGAGTCTCTCGGACTCATTGCTGCACATCTTACAAATCCAGCAATTCCGCCTGCTCATTTTTCTAAAGAAATACAGAATATATTTGTATCATTTAGTCATTTAAATAGTTATATGTTAGAGTTAATTTTTAAAGAACATATAAAGCTACAAATGATGAAAAAATAAGGATGAATTCTTGAAGTTCAAATACAGTGAGTGTGGGGTTAAGGAGGGGGAGGAAATGACTCAGCTCTCATGCATATTTTATATCAGTGCTTAGATTTCTATGTGAGTTTAGAAATTATCTAGCCCACCTATTCATTAAAGAATGGGGTTTTAAAAATGCAAAGTTCTGAGAAATACCTTTTCATTTACAGCCCACTGACAAGGGAATTCGCCGACTTCTAAGGTTTCCTTTTTTGGGCAATTTTTATTTTTCAAAAGCTCTCTCTATATATCAAAAAATTAGCTTCTTTGTAATTAGTCAAATAAAATAGTATAATAGCTAAATGAACAATGAAACTTAGGAATGAATTCTGAGAAGTGTGTTGCCTGTATAGTTTTCTCCATTCTGTACATTGTTAATTTGATTTAAAAAAAGAAATTAGATTGATGTGCTTGGCCCTGGACACCTTATTATGCACTAAGCTCTGGCTGCCAGTGGGTGGTCCACACAGATCTTGTTTCTCCTCTTCCTGCCTTTACTGCCAAGTAAGTAAGATGCATGTGATGGGGCTTCAATACAGGAAGTACAGGGGAAGCCAGCAAACACGGGAGAATGCAGCTAGACTTGAGGGTGGTTAGTGGTATCCCAGTGAAGAACTTTCAGAGCTGTAATCAGCTGAAGGTGTGGGAAAGTGCTGAGAGAGGGAGGAGGCTGCTTGGACAGAGGTCAGGAGGCCACAGTTAGATTCTACTTGAAGAAAGGAAAGGAATGAAGTTGCCCTATGGATCTAGGGCACGGCAGGGAGAGATCTGAAAGAAACGAACCGAAAAAGTCTTTGGGACCAAGAATCATGTTCAAAATGATTACTGCAGCAAGAAAGTGGTAGGAGATGAATTTGTAAGAAGAGGCTGAGGCCAAGAATATTAGGCCATGCAGGCCCTAGATTTTATATTTAGAAGTTGGAAAATCATTGAAAGGTTTTAAATTTCAGAGGAGACAGGTTAACATTTGCAGTCAGTTTTGTGAGTAGCATGAAGTGCCCTGGAAATCAGGGAGGAGAGTTGGCGGGCAACTGCATCCAGATGAGGGATGAGTGGGAGGTGGCAGTGGAGAATGGAGGGAAGGGGGTAGATTTTAGAGAATTTGAAGGAAAAACTGCTAGTACCTCGTTGATGCATTGGACATGGAAAGTGAGAAAAAGAAAGTGAATAAGTTCAAGTGAGAGATTAGACTTCAAGGCCAAGACAGGCAGCTTTCATAAATGTGTAAGAAGCCAGAAATATGATGAGATGTCCAGGAAGAGTGTGAACTGAGGAAAGAATGCAGCTCCAGATGAGTGACTAAAGAAAGACTGTGAAATAGGAGCTCGTAGGACAAAAACCAAAATGACATGCTCTCATAAAAACCAAAGAATGTGCTTGTCAGAAAGGACTGTGGCCAATTGAGAGTTAAAAGCTGGGAAGAGACTGAGAACCAAGGATTGAAAGATGTTGTCAAGAAGGCATTAATGATCGTGGGGAAGAGCGTTTTCAGTGGAACAGGGAGGGCGGAAACAGATGGAGGAAAATGGGAGGGAATGGAGCCCAGGTTACATGGAGGGATAATTTTACAGAGGTACTTGCAATTTGCAATTTTTTACCTCTTTTTCTTTTCTCCCTTTCTCTCTCTTTCTTGTCTTTTGGGAAAGCTGTTGACAGAACGCTATATCAGGGACAGAGATGTAGGGCTCTGACATTTGGCTATTCTGGTCTGCATATCTTTAGGGGGTATCATTACAATATAGCCTGCACTGTGAATGGGTGGCACACCCTGAAGTTGGCAAATGCTAGCCATGGAGAGCAGTGGAAGATATAGGAGAAAGAGGGACCATCCGTAGAATTTTAAGTTCCTGAGAAAGAAAGAAAGGGGCTAGAATACAGAATGTGGGGCTGGGACCTTGGAGAAGTGGCAGTATATGAAGAAGTTACTTCCTTTCTCTGGAAGGGCTGAAGAAAGTTTAGATGTCAATTAAAGTACATTTGGAGGTTTGGAGATAAGAATTTATGGGAGGTGTGGTCTTGTATCTTCTATATGGATCGCAATTGTAAGTGGGGAGGAGCAAAATAGCTCTACAGGAAGACACAAAGTTGAAGAGGAATAGGTTAATTGATTAGCCATTTTGATTGCAAATATAGATTCAAAATAGTATAAGCACAAGCAGAAGGGGGAGTTTATCAGTGGGATATGTTTGTGCAGTTAGATTCTAAATGACTTTAAATGCAAGACTAAAGATGTTGGACTCTTGCTGGTAACAATAATTTGAAAAAATTGAGGGTAAGAAAGCTATTGCATTGACTGGTTGTTCACACTGGTCCTATGTACAATTGAAGTCTGGACTACATGTAGTTCAAGATTTCTTTGATCACCCATGAGGTGCAGTCACTCAACAGCCCTTGCTTATTTTTTTAATTAGGAGGATGGTAAAGAATTTACTTTCTTCGCATGCCTTCTCTGTCAGTATAACTGCTGTCTTCTACCAGGATTGGACTTATCATATGCTCTCTACATTTAATAATAGATTTTGTATCCCATTATCTCCTCATTTGATCTACTAGAAAGGTGTGTACACATTTTTGTCTTTCTTGATGTGATCTCTATAACTCCAGTGCATGTCTATTTACAAGTTATCATTATCCAAATAACTTTAGTGGAATTGTTTGGTAAAAGCATAGCTGTCTTAGAATTGCCATGCAATTCTCAGTGAGGTCAGAAGCACATTGAAAGTAATTTCTAGATGCATGGAGTTTAGGGGGTTCCCAGAATTCCTGAGAGGTGACAGAGTATATTCAAACAGACATGTACTTGAGTTCAGACTCTCATAAGCTGTGTGACCTTGGGCATGTTAGTTCAACTCTGATTCTCAGTTTCCTTTAGTACAAAATGGAACTCTAGAGATTGGAAAAAGAGATATATGCAAAAACTGTTCCAGTTTAGCTTCTTATACTCTGCCACTCAGGAAATATTTCTCTTTTGTGTGTACAGGAAATGCACATTCTGTTGCACTATTCTTTTTAAATTTCAACTCAGATATTACCAGTTTTTCTCATTAATATTATTCTTCAACATTTGAATATATTCTGAAAATCTTCTTCCTTTTGTTGCTTCCATATTTCTATTGTTCATATGGTGTTTTAGTGGCTGGGTTCCAGTTTTAGGATTAAGTGGGTCTGCTACAGGAATTCACTTAAGTATCATATTGAAGGGTTGAGACTACCAGGTTGGGTTTGTTTGGTCAGAAGTGCTCAGGCATGCTAGAGCAACAAGATCAAACTGACCATCCAGAGTGTCCCCTTAGGTACAATTTTGCAGGTTGTCTCTTCTACTTATATGTCTAGTCCAAAGAGGGAGAGGAAGCTGGCATCCAGGCAGACAGTTCTTGCCAACTATGGGACACCAAGCTGTGTTCCATCTTGTTGTGGAAAGACTACTTTTTTTTGTTCTAATTCTAGCAAAGCCTCTGTATAGACGTAGCAGCTCTTTGCTCATTACGTGATCTATTCAGAGGGAGATTCTCTGGTCCAAGACTTTCATTAGTTGGGTGACATTGGGAAAAGAGTAAAATAAAAATGTCTGTGAAAACATTTAAGGAATTATGTACAAGATATGTTATGCATAGAAGAGTTGTATGTTGTGAAGTTCTCTGGATTTCCATTTGCTTGAGAAATGGGACTTGTTGGGTGCTGTCTCAGTGATGGGATTTCTGCTCTCGGGAACTGCCCATTGCTTGGTGCCCTGTTGCTTGCCCCTAAGATCTTTGTAACTGAGTGGTCACATGCCCGTGCTGTTTTCTAGTTCTTACTTCTGGGTTCATAATCACCAGGCGCCACAACTCTGCTGGAATGTCATAGAACACTCCCCGCGTCCTCCTAATGTCATTTATATTGGGACAAAGGGTAAGTTCAAAAGTGTTTAATCATAGTTCCAAGTAAAAAGGACAGATTGACCATTGGAGTTTATTATCTCTTCTAACCAAAACACTGGTAAAATTACAGTAAAAGAATATGTAAAACTTAAACTCAAAGGCAAAAAAAGAGATTAAAAGAGGGGGAAAGAAAACAAAATATTTCAAAGTAATTTTGGAAGATGGGAAGCAGATGGGGTAGAAATTAAAAGATTCTCATACCTCTAAAATGAGAAGAAAAAAGGCAGTCTTTGGAATTTCATCTGACAAAATGAAGAACATATAATTCTCAGTCTGAGGACAAATTTCAAAATAAGTAGGAATTTAAATATATATCTACAATCCTGCATCCAACAATATTTATCATTCAGTAATACATTTCAGTCAATAATTTATACCAAAATATAGAATGGTAGAGTCAAACCCTCTCACATTCGCAATTGAGAACTTTTAAGAAATATTCTTGGTAATTCCAAAAAAGGGTAATTTACATTTTTAAAAGAAATATAGCTTCTTCAGGATAAGGATTTGATTGAGTCTATTGATAAAATGAACTTCATTTTATTTGGCAAATTTAAATAAGAATATTTTTAGTGAAATTATACCTTCAGTCAAAATATAAGCAAAAAAAAAGTTCATTTCAAATACTCATAGAACTACAATTCTACTCTGGCAAATAGAGTTCCCAGTTTAGAATGACCTATACTGGTTTAATGTAGAACTGATTTATATTATGAATAAACTCACCAAGCTTCAAATCAATGATGTTCACTTTTTTCTCATGTTGGTGTCAATGGCATATGGAAACATTCTATTAATCTAAAAGTAAAATAATAATACAACCAATTAAAGGAAGATTAGTGCCAACTTCCTGAAGAAAATATCCATTTGGCAAGTATTTCTATAAATATCCTGCTTTGTCTTAAGTAAATAATTTTTCTACTCTATAAATGCTGCACTGTGGTTTTCTACATTTTTGATTTGTTGACTCCTTATCAAGAACTTTAATTTCATGGATTAATACATAACTATGCAAATATATATTTTATTTCTATTTTCCATTGTCTTCATTTAAATGTCTTGTGTTAAGATGTTTTAATTTGCTCTTATTTTTTAATACTTTGTAAACATGCATGCCTAGTTTAACTCAATCTATGCATAGAACATTTAGAACAAGTTTAGATCTCCATAATGATAGTGTTTTCCCTTGGTAATTATTTAAAAGAAATAACATTTTATTAATAGAATCTTAAAGTGGTTGTAAATGGATTGGTGATAAATGCAAAAACAGATTCACATTTCTTTCAGTGTTTAAATTAAATCTAAAAATCAAATAAAATATGAATTTCATTCATAAATGAATTTTATGAATCTTAAGCCTTTTCACATACTTAAATATTTTAATACAATCCGATAGGCAATCAGTAAATTCTTTCTGTTCATACTGTACATCTGCAAAGAAATATTGACTATGTTCCTTTATTTTATGATGTAACAAGTTCCACAAGGTGTAGAAAAATCTGGAGAAATTTATTTTTTAGCAAGATTTTGTCGGTCATAGCACACAAAATTCCCACCTTTTTTTTTTTTTTTTAAAAGAAAACTTTGTACATGGGCATAACATGGAGCAATGAAGAAATTCAGTAAAATCTAGGTTAACCATACTTCAGCAAGACCTTATTGGAATCCACACCTGGAATCAGTACAGCAAATAAATTGATGGAACTCATACTTCAATGTGCAATTTTTAAAATCAGCAATTCTGAATTGTCTGATTTTATATCTTTATTTAAACTAAACATACACACATATACATGTAAACCCACATAAAATGAAGGAATGTACTCCCAAACGGTAATACTCCTCTATTGCTCAATTAAGATTCCTTTTTATATGTGTGGACTGTAAGTTTTAAGAATAGAAAGTCTAAGTTGGGATTACCGGTTTATTTTCTCCCTGGGAAAAAAATACCCCTGCTCACACTCGTGGCAGTCCTGCTGAGACCATCAGCCTCCTCGAGTCATTTCTAACAAGCCAACATAGTTGCACTCATCAGCTATTTTACAGAATTTCATACTTACAAATATATCCTGTGGAGCGGTCCACCATTGCTGAATTTTATTTCCTCTTTGTTATGATCTTTTTGAAACTGGGTTCTGAAATTTCATGAGACACCCAGCATTTTATTTTTCCTGGCATAAAACGACCTTCCTGGCTCTATAATTACCTTCTATGGCCCTCTGGCCTCGGTATGAATGTTCTGTTTTTACAGACGCATATCTATGCAAAGAGAAGTTTTGTTGAATATGAAAAATAGTGCTGTGGGCCTGTGATGCATTGCTGATGAAGAGGTTTTATCTAATATTATCGGAGCATAGGAAGTTGTCAGATGACTGGAAGCCGTAGCTTCCCCATGAGATCTTCAACGTAATAGTCAAAAACTTTGTCTTCCCAAAGAATTCATGTTTCTAGTTTTAGAAAATGTATGGCCTAAATTAAAATGCCCTTTTAGAAAAGACAGAGAGCTGAGGACAAATAAGAAAACTCCCCCTGCAAACACTTGCTATTGAATTGTTGAAATATTAAAATCAACCTGTTTAGAATAATCAAATGATTAAGGATTTGTTTTAAAAAAAAAAAAAATTCTGGTCAGACCTTTCTAGGTCCTCTCACTGGTCCTCTATGGCAGTTTTGGCACTTTGCATCATTCTTCAGCTAAAATCCCTGTTAAAATCTAGACTGAGCATAGTGCTTCAAATGAGCTCTAATGAATGTAAAATATGGTGAGATTATCTAAACCAACCGTGTGTGTGTGTGTGTGTGTGTGTGTGTGTGTGTGTGTGTGTGTGTGTTGGGGGTTCCAGAATAAAATAGGAAAGATCAAAAAGTGTTTGATGGAATGTTTCTTAAAATATTTAGGAGACTGATGAAGAAGAACATTATTATTTATATTTAAGGATTTTGAGGCTCAAACCCAGGGAAATTGAATTTGTCAAACCTAAGAGATAAGAAACCAGAATAAGGCAAATGAGAAAGCCAGAAGTTGAGTAGCTGTGGCCATGTTGCGGGAAGTAAGAGCAGGGTTTGGACAATTCAGTTGGATCTGTATTGTTTTCTGATAGGGCCCATTTTCACTAGTTGCTGGTTGTCCAAGTTCTGTCTGCATCTCAGAAAATATGGATGCTGTGATGCTGGATCTTTCCAGGAAATCTCCAATTTAGTTGTTAAATCTCCTCTGCCCCCAAGATGATTTGTTTCTTGGGATTCAGGAGTGTTTCCTCTTTCTCATGGGTTGGAAGCAAGGAGCTAGCAGGGAAATTCTGGAAGTTATACCCTATAGGAGTAAAAGTTGCAAAGCCTACAGATGACATTAATCATGAACATCTTCCTACAGAATAAATACTGAATATCAAAAAGGGCTCAGAAAAAAAGAAACTGTGGACCAATGAGTTTCAGGGGGGAGGAGGAAGGTAGTCCTGGGGCATTCTAGTATAAGGTGTAGATGCTTGTGCCTCTCCCGCCCTTCCTTCTGATCAAACCTAGGGTCACTTTTTCACGGAGTTATATCCTCAGTTCTTTTATTTATTTATTTTTTAAAAAATTTTGAGATACAATCTCACTAAGTTGCTGAGGCTGGCTTTGAACTTGTAATCCTCCTGCCTCAGCCTCCTCAGTCAATGGTATTACAGGAGAGCGCCACTGCACCCAGCTTGTAGCAAATTTCTAAGCATTTTTGGTTTCCCTGAGATAAAGTCCAGTTAATGGAGTCAGAGCAATGTGGTCCTTGGTATACAGCTGAATAGGACTGATTCAGGGATGTGGGGTCAGGGAATGGAACAGGATCTTTGCGTATTTGTTGGTGTGGCTTGGGAATACCCTCTATTTGGAGATCCCATTTTTCTAATAAATTACAATCCACTTACCCTTGAACACTTTCCCTCTATTTCTATTCCAGCCAATTCCAAAGTAATAAAACTTCAAATGCTCACAATTAAAGAATATTTAATATTTTATATGTTTAAAATCCCACATGAATTTCACAAGAACAGAATAATGAAATATTAGAAATTAGGATCTGCCATTTATCTCTCCTCCTAGTGTCGCTACTAGGTGGTTGTTGGTTGCTTATGAAATCGGCCTGATGTTTACAGCACATTCTCTTGATATCATATGGTTGTTGCCCTTTGCTCATAGGACGGCATTTTTCCATATATTCTAGAAGCAAGATCAGTTGTTAGACACTGGTGAATTTTAGTGAAATGTACCCAGTTGAAGTGTGTCAGTGTGGGAGGAAGATGAGAATAAGCTCCTGCTTTCCTTGAACTCTAGGTCTGTGTCTGCTGGACTTTCTGTTTACAGATCCCTCCTTTTGGGTCTTCTTCCCAGGTGTTATGTTTGCAGAACAACCTCTGCCTGTCTTTGCAGACTGGGTACCCACATGGTAAGAGTGGCTAAAGCTCTACAACCCAAAACTTGACCCATCTTCTGTCCTTGTCCCCTCTGGCTGGATGCCCCGTTGAAACAATGTAACAGGGGCTTCTGGTTTGTGTGAACCCAAAATAGTGGTGATGTAAATTAGATTACTGGGTGCTCAACACTGTTGACAGCAAAAAATGTGCTGAAATAGCAATTATAGCTAGCAACCAGTTTTGTCTGCATTTACTCAAATGACTGGCTTTTAATTATAAATCCTGCCATTCTATAAGGATTATTCACTAACTCCCTATCATCCTTCATTTCCTTTGGCAGTTGCTCTAAAACATTCTTGTGGCCCTCCCAGGAAGTCGGTACTGTAATACTCTGAGGTTTCAGATCTCCAGCATGGAACAAGGATCCTACCTAGTTTCCATTTTCTCCCATGCACTTAGTAGACCTCTCTATCCTTTCCAACCAGATTTCAAGGGATCTAGTTAGGGTTTCAGTTTTTCTCCTCTGATGTATTTAAGGCAACAGTAACAGAGTTAGAAAAATGATGTTCTTTTCATGGGGAAAAAAACCAAAACCTTAGTCACTTAATTTGGACTGATTTATTAGTTTTTTTAATAACATTCTATGTGTATTTGTAGGTCTACTTGTAGGTCTATTAATTTTTTTTTTTTGTAACATTCACATTGTTTAAACTGTGGGGTGTTCTGAGGATTGGGTTGAGGGTGCAAGTCTTTGAAGAAGATTAGCATTGATTTTTCAGGTGGCCTGGGTGCTACCAGGTACCACGCTGGACTGATGTGTTATTTTCTTGCCTTGGCTTCCTGGATCACACAGGTAAGGTAAATTTAAATTAGAAACCCAGGAAAGCCCAGGCCTGGTATTGTGCTGAAAGATATTTCCTTGTCAACAGTTGGTACAGATAATAGTTTTTCCTGTCTACTCTTTCACTGAAGCGGGGGAAGTTTAAGGGTCTCTGGCTCAGTTTATGACAACCTGACATCATGTTTTCCGACATGCAAACAAGAACTCTAGATAACTAAGATTTGTAAATGTTGAACTCAGCTGCAGTAAATGCTAGGTTGTTATTCTGGTTTAGGATTCCCTTTGGTGTGTTTCTCTCTCTCTCTCTCTCTCTCTTTTTTAGGTTTCTCTTACTTTTTTTTTTTTTTGCAAGTTTGACTATGCATTTAAAGGATGATATTGTTCCTTTTTCCCCTAGCATTTCCAAGTATCTAGTGGAGAGATCTTTCAAGGTATGTCTTGCCTCCTCTGCTCTGTTTTATTTTGTGTGAAAGAATGCTATATATTTTTAGATAAAAACCAAGTACAATGAAATATCAAGGAATTTGGGACTTCAGCATTTCCTTGTCAGCCATGGAGGGATAGCACATTATTAGCTTTTTTAAGTGAGGGATGCCTCTATTTAGAAGTATGCAAGTGCAAAGCTGAGGTATGTTGGGTTTCAAATCACCTAATCAAAATACAGTCCTTATTCTATATATAAGTCCATTTCTTTTTACTGTGTCCAAAAGAGAACAAAGCAGAACAGACTTTTGCCACATTTCCTGCTTTTTTTTTTTCTCCTTTATCAGAGAGTTTGGGATGACTTTTCTGCAGATCATTACTTAAAAAAAAAAAAATGTTGACTTAATCTTTAAACAGATCTGTCCCCAGGGCAGTGGTGAATGGTGACAGATACACCTGCATCCCACCCATTCATGGATGGTCTCTAATGAGTCAGGAAAGTAGATGGCTAGGTTGTGACTCAGAGGAAAAGGGTAATTTGAGAAGAATAGGTAACCCACCAGCTGGTAGTGAGGCCTAAAGGAGTCTAGAACTTGGATTAGCCTGTATTTCTTATCTCTCCTTGACCAAAAGGAATTTCCCACTTTTCTCATGCATACTTCAACTGCTTATGTGGACACAGCTTTGAGTCTAGCATAGTAGGTGCTCAATAAATATTGGAAGAATGAATGAATGCATTCCCTTTCTAGTAAGATTCATCCCAAATAAAACTACTCTTAATTTTCTTTTTAACCATTTTTCACTTACATAAAAATTATGAAATGGAGTTTGGGAAGATGGTGTATATTGTTATGTTTTCCTATGTCTCCTATCATCCTCAGGGTTAGTCCTACCTCTTTACTGTAACTTTTACTAACCTGTATCATTAGTAGACTTGCTAACTATGCATAGTGGAAATACTAAGCTTTGTAAGTATAATTTACACAAATATATATTTTCATAAAGCATGCAAATTTGAACAATGGAGCCCTTGTGACTCTTGTCAAATAAGGAACTAGAGTGAAACACAGAGTAAATGTTTATCTTTGGGATCTAAAAGAAAAAAACTGTATCTTACAACCTCTGGAAGGACATGATATACAAATAAGGCTGGACAAACAACTTTAATACTTAGTAAAGGCAAAGAATTTGAAGAAATACCTCAATCCTGGAAACTTTAGAAACCTACTGTAATATACTTTCATTTAAAAAAAAAAGTACATGATTTTTTTTCTTCCTGAAATTTGAATATTTGGGGAGTTGCTTTAGTAACTCTAAAACTAGTACATCAAATAAATGCTTTTTAAAATACAAACAAAGTATTCTTAAGACATTTTTATGTGAAAGAACAGTAAGTTTGCTCACAGAAAATTATATCCAAAGGAGAATGAAGAGGGATTATAATTATAGCAGGGATGACCCTGGAGGGCCAGAACCATGTAAGACATTCTGAATGTACAGCATGAAACCAGCAGAGATTATGGAGTGATTATTTTTTAAATAGATGAAGCTGAGAAAAAGAGAATAATGGGAATAGAACAATGGGAACACAGAGGTATGAGGTTTTTTTTTTGAGAAATTCTCATTTTGGGGAAAAATACGGAAGGTTATTAAACACAAACCTTAATTTTTCTCAAACATGTCTTCAAACACTGCAGAAAATTATATCTAATAAAACATGAAACTTATTTAACTTTTTTGGAAAATTCCAATTTTCCTGAGTAATTCAGGAAAATGATATTCCATGCCCCTCAGCCCCCAACCCCATCAGTGGGGATTTTTCCCATCTT